TCTGAACTCACCTCTCATGCCTCAGCTACCTTTGCTGTTAAGTGTGAGAATGAGAATGCTTGTTGAGCTTACGTGCAATGGTGTTTACTGAAAATTATTGCAGGTGCCTTGGGTGGATTGGGAAGGAAGGGAGTAGCCTGGAGAAAAAAGTTTTTCTGGCCCTCTGTTAGACACTCTGCAGCCATCCCAGGAAAAACGTAGAAGATCAGAACCCACAAAAGCATCCTGGCATCTATATGCCATGGATGCTCATGCCCCACTGGCCCTACTCTATGATCATCAAGCTATGCTTGAAATCATTCATTCTGCACAGCATGGAAATTGTTCCTCACAATCAGAAGGCAAGAGAGAAAGAGAGGTCAGGAAAGGAGGAATCTCAGTCTGATAGATCCCAATCTTCATAACCTGTAGTAACTCTGTGGAACTCTACCCCCCGCCCCCACCCTCCATCAGGGAGATGGGAATCCTACCCCAGTGCCTGGCAGAGCTCAGTGCTGGGACCAGGATGGGCCCAGAGCACTGGGCCTGGGGCTGTTTTCAGCCTGGACACATCACCTGTACAGTGAGCCATGAGGCCCAGGAGGAGTGGGGTCCAGGCCATGGTGAGGGGCTGGGGTTCTGGCACCTGAGGCTGAACTCCACCTGGTCCCCTCTTATCCCCTTAGGGAGAGAGCTGCTGGCTATAAAAATCAGCCCGGCTCAGGGCTGCTGCTTGGGGTCTGTGGCTGCAGAAAAGGGCCCATACCCAAGGGACACAGGAAGGGGGAGAGCTGGCCCTGCAGTCCCTACCTGCTGCTTAGTGGCATCTCCCTGACAATTTTTGTTTCTCTATAGCTTATGGGAATTTTGCACTGACACATTGTGTTTTTAGAATAAGTAATTTTATATATGGGATGAAATATTGGCTTAAATTACAAGATTTTTCATTGAAATATTCTTTATAGTTGGTTTCCTTCATCTTGGGGACATCCATACAATAAAAATCACGTTTATTACTTGATTCAAGTAAAGGATAGAGGATCCTTCATGTTACTAGATACCAAAAGACATTAAGATGTAAACAGACTAAATCTCAAATATTCTCTGGACCAAAAATATTTCAGATTCTGTGGCTGGAGAGATAACACATAGTGGGACGAGTGATTCCCTGTGCCTGACCTGCCCAGGTTTGACCCCTGTCACTACATACTGTGCCCAGACCCTATCAGGAACAATCCAAGAGTGTGAAGTCAGAATCCCTGAGTATGGTCAGGTGTGGCGCACGCAGTCCAGTCTCTCTCTCTCTCTCTCTCTCTTCCCCCCCCCCCACACACAGATCGGAGGTAAAAGAGATTAAAAACAAGGAAGAATATGGGCTTCTCCAGAGAAGACAAACCCCTAAGGAAAAGGATGTACTCTAAGTCGGATTCAGTGACTCTGGAATGGTGTGTCCTGAATCCTCCAGGAAGCAGAGTTTGAGCCTTTCCAAGCTGCGCAGCTTGGAGTTCTTTCTGAAGAAAGGAGTTACTGTCAAGGTTTGTGAAGGGAAGGGATTTTGAGCACTGGTGACGTTTTTCATTGAGAGTTTCTCAGGTCCTTTCTTTTGTTAAATTACCTTCTGAGGTTGTTCCGTCCTGAGATTTGGGCTGACTATTGAGCTCGATTCACTTAATCATTTCCTTGCCTTGCATTTGTCTCTTCTCTGTAGTCTTTTCCCTGCCCTATAACCCTCGGAGGCTCCTAACTGCTTCTAGTATAGCACTCAAATAAGTACTTGCTGTAAACAACCTTGAAATTCCAATATGCCTCAGTTTATCTTTTAACACACTGGACACGCATTTCCCTCTAATAATCCTGAAGTCTGGTCATGTTTGCCTAACACCCCCTTCCAAGTGACATCGTGACAGCTTCATCCTACAATCCCACATTCACCCTTCGTGATCCTGGATAGAGCCTGTTCCATGATCGGTGTGGCGAGTCAGGGGACCTGAAATCTCTCTGTGTCAGATCTATTTGCTGCTCTGACAGCAAGCTCATGGGGTTGGAGGAGAGCATGATTTTTTTGGACAGGGATTTGTGTGTCACTTCCCTTCTGCCCATGTCGCTGTGGGCTTTGGCACTCGAGTATTCCACCCAATACAGTGAGAGTCAGCTTCTTGCTAAGCCAGGACGGTTCCTTGGTCAGGGTGGCCATATTCCTCAGTTGGAGTCAGAGAAGCAGTTAGGGATCCTGGAGGGCTGGTTGTTATCACCAGAGATGACCAGCACAGAGATGCGGCCAACTTCTGCTGGTACCAATGAATAGCATTTCTCATCTCCGGGTTGTCCGAGGAGCAGGTGAGCTTGACTGTCAGTACCAGGTCCGCTGATGTGGAAAATGACTGGGTCAGCTTAAAGGAGGCCAAAGAGCCTTGAGAGATAGGACAGGATACAGGGTTGAACAAGAAGGGCCAGAACTCAGGAGGTCCCAAAAAGAGTCTGTGTCAGTGTGGAGCTCAGGGTTTGGGCAGGCCTGTTGGGCCGATCCTTTGAGGTGGCACCTGTGCAGACAGCAAGGAGAGAGACCAGGGGAAGGGGCCGGGCCATGATGGATCCTTTTTAGAGCGCTGCTTGTGCTCATTGCACTCTTGTGATCTATATCATCTTCTTCTATCTTCTCTGGACCTGTGGGATAAAGATGGTTTGCTCTCATGGAAATTTATTGCTCCTCTGGTTAGAAGAAGATCTTAGCACACCCAGAAGGCAGAGTAGGTGCCTTAAGGGAGAATGGATTGCAATCACCAAAACTGAGCTGCTTCTCACTCAGAAAATCAACCTTCTCATTGATGTGTGTGATCATAATCAGCTTCCAGGGCTTTCCCCCTTCATGCTAGCCTGTGTTCCGTCCAGGGAGTCCTCACCTGTGATGTGTACCAGGTGTTTGGTGAGGCAGCTCACTGGAGTCTGTGAAACACAGACACAAGATGTACAAGAAAGGCGCTATGAAACCAGTCACCCTTCTCCTTTGAAACTTCCTTTCTGACTACCCAGAAGCTTTTTGAATCAGATTAGAGATGACCTGAAAGAGAGATTAAAGAGAAGTGGTTAAGGCATCTCTGAACATGCCTGAGAGGCAGGATCCAGTATTTCTGATCACACAAGTGTTAGGCCCTTGTCTTTCACAGGTAAGTCACAAACTGTGGCCCTGCTTCTATCAGTGTCCCAAGTGAGCCTGACCTTCAGAGTAAGGCCTCTGCTACCTTAGGAAGTACAGTGGACCAAACCTTGGATACTTGCTGCCCCTAGAGTCTCTCCCTCTGCGTTTCTCTCTAGGAAACACCTGGTTCTGTCCTCCAAATTCCAGAATTCAAGTTAGCTTCCCACCACTGGAAGAGTTCAAATGAGGAATTTCTCACCTGCAGGTAATTCCAAACTTCAAGAGGGTTCAGAGTAAAGGCTTCACTCTTTCAGGTGGTGTCAGCTTTTCCCCCTGATCCACCCAGATTTGTTTAAAAAAGTCCCAACTGGCATAAAGGGAGGAGGAGACAGATGTATTTCTGAGAATTATGTTCCAGCACTAACAGGCCCTTCTGTGTCAGAGTTTTGTGTGGAGAGTGAGAAGAGCCGTGTTCTCTTACAGTGTTGAGATTCATGGAAATCCATGATGACTTAGAAGAGTATAGAATTTCTTTGTATCTGGAAACCAAGACTAAAGCTTCCTTTACCCCAGTAATGGCAGCTGGAACCCATGATGTTTGCCACCGAAGCTCAGTGTGCACTTGGATCATTGTCAGTATCTCTGTTCCTTTGGTGAATTCATTCAGACACCTCAGAGTGTAGAGTAGGAGATTTCTTCACTCCCTCGTTTTCTCTGGTTATAGTAGGGGCTGGATAGTTTTGTGGGTAGTGTGCCTGCCATACATGTGGCCAATCCAGGCTTGATCCATAGCATCCCATATAGTCTCCTGAGCATTTCCAGGAGATATTCCTGAGCACAGAACCAGGAATAGTCAGTGAGTATTGCTGGGTGTCATCCAAAAACAAAACAAAAAAACAAAAAAAGAAAAATGTATGAGAAGATCAAATACAGTGAATTGGTCTGGTGTGGGTAAAAGAATTTCCCCATTTGGTCCTTCAAAAAGAAGAGGGACCAAAATGCGGCACAGGGGTTTGGGTTGGGGGTGGGAAGGGTAAATGATTAGGAAGAATCATTCAAGAGGGAGTATCAAGTCTTGGTGAGATTTGTTCCCAATCAATATACATAAGAGAGTGACATGGAAGTTTTACAAAGTTCTCATAATTCTCAACAACATACAAAAATTCAGGTGTCATAAATCTCCATTCTAATACATGAGTGGGTGATGGTATCCCATGTTTCTCCTTCCAAGGAGTTCCTCTCTAATGCTGAAAGACCTGCAGTCTCATCAAAGGACAAGAGGAAAGGGATAACAAAGGCTAGCATGAGTCAGGGGCCACTCAGAGTCAGAGATTGTCCTTCTGGTGTCTGAACTCACCTCAGACACCAGGGATGAGGAAGTGAAGACACTACATCTGCAAGGGCTGCAGCTGCCCCACACGCAGCTGGAGGGACCCTGGACCAGCAGGTGTTGACCAAAGTTGAAGAACTCAAAATATTGATTTGAGGAATTCAAAACATGGAGGATTGAAAAAGTAATTTCCTTTTTATCTCTTGGGCCACACTTGATTATGCTTAGGACTTACAGCTATTCTACACTCAGGGATCACTCATGGCGGGGCTCAGGGGACGATATGGGAATCAGGGGATCAAACTAGGCTTGCTTCATGGAAGGCCAGGGCCTTACCCACTGAATTATTGCTTTAGTCCTGGAGGGTTTTGTGTTTCTGAAGGCTAAATGAAGATCCAGGAGCATAGAGAACCAGCTCTTGATCGAGATAAGGATCAGAGCAGGATGGTGGGGTTGCCTGACTCCCATACCTCAGCTACTGATCACAGTGAGGGTGAGCACCAGGCCAGATCAGGAGGTTCTTACCCCACTTCCCCAGAGTCTGTGCCACTGTGCTCACTGCCAGCTGCCCTCAATGGTACCAGCTGCTGCACAGTAATAGTCGGCCTCATCCTCAGCTTGGACTCCAGTGATGGTCAGGGTGGCCAGGTTGCCAGAGTTGGAGCCAGAGAAGCGCTCAGGGATCCCTGAGGGCCGGTTGTTATCCCTGTAGATGACCAGCACAGGCGCCTTGTCTGGCTTCTGCTGGTACCATGTAACATATTTGTTTCCAATTTTGTCTCCCGCACAGGTCATCTTGGCCTCCCCTCTCAGGCTCACAGATAATGAGGGCGGCTGATTCACCTCATAGGAAGATACAGAAACTGTAAGAGAGAAGGAGAAATAAGGTAAGGAGAAATCCCAGTCTGCCAGATCTTAATCTTCATAACCTGTAGTAATTCTGTGGGACCTCACCCCCAACCCCCACCATCCATCAGGCTGTGGGCATCCTACCCCAGTGCCCTGCTGAGCTCAGACTCAGGGCCAAGATGGCTCCAGAGCACTGGGCCTGGGGCTGCTGTGAGCCTGGACAGCTCACCTGTGCAGTGAGCCAGGAGGCCCAGGAGGAGCGGGGTCCAGGCCATGGTGAGGGGATGGGATCCTGGCACCTGAGGCAGATCTCCTCCTGGTCCCCTCTTATCCCCTCAGGGAGAGAGCTGCTGGCTATGCAAATCAGCCAGGCTCAGGTTTACTGTTCAGGGTTTGTGACTGGTGAAAAGGGCCCAAGACAAGGAACACAGGAAGGTGTGGGCTGGCCATTCAGTCCTTACCTAATGCTTAGTGGTGTCCCCCTGACAATTTTTGTTTCTCTGTAGGTTCTGGGAATTTTGTCTACTTAATAGGTGGTTTAGGGCATCAACACAATATGTTTTCAGAATTAGTAATTTAATATGAGGTATGAAATATTGACTTAAATGACAAGGATTTCTCATTAATAGATTTTTTTATAGTTGGTTTTCTTCGGTTTTGGGGACATTTATACAATAATAAAAATCACCTGTATTACTTGGTTCAAGTGAAGGATAGAGGATTCTTCTTGTTGTCAGATACAAAAGGACATTAAAATGTTAAACAGACTGGACAGCAAATATTCTCTGGACCAAAAATATTTGAGATTCTGTGGCCGAAGAGATAATACAGCGGGGAGGGTGATTCCCTGTGCAGGGCCTGCACAGGTTTCATCCCTGTCATCACATTTTGTTCCCAGACCCAGTCAGGAACAATCCAAGAATGCAAAGTCAGAATTTCTGAGTATGGTTGGGTGTGGCGCGCGCGCGCACACGCACACACACACACACACACACACACACACACACACACACACTTCATATCCTAGGTGCCTTGCTTGAAAACAATTCTGCTTAGATTCCCAGCACTGTGTGTTCCTGGACCAAGCATCAGTGAGGAGAGCCCTGGATTCCCCACAGCACCCTCCTAGTGGCTGACTAATCTCTGACACCATGTAGTTTGATCAGCATCACAGTTCCCCCAGGGCCTCCTTAGAATAAATCACAGTATCCCCAGTTCCCACGACCCTCCACTTACACCACAGGCCCTGCCACTTGCCACACAACAATCCAAGAATGCAAAGTCAGAATTTCTGAGTATGGCTGGGTGTGGCTGAGTATGGTTCGGCTCATCAAAACTGAAGAAAACCCACTATAAAAAAAATCTATTAATGAGAAATCCTTGTCATTTAAGTTCAGATTCAAAAGAAGTCAATCAAAGAAAGAAAGGAAGGAAGGAAGGAAGGAAGGAAAGAAGGAAGGAAGGAAGGGAGAGGAAGAAAGAAAGAAAAACAAAGAAAGAAAAATATGCTCATCTGTGTCAGGTGATAGGAAAATAAATACTTTTCCTTAGGTCGGAGGTTGGTTACTAAACACCAGTTCCCTGAACATCCCTGAATCTACTGAGTTAGACCCCTTGTCACCCTGACCCACCCCAGCTACATTGGAACCCATGATTATCTGCTGCCCCCTGGTGGTCATTCTGTGTAGTGAGCAGGGCTGGGAAGTCCTAGGAGGAAGTCAGGACTGATTCAGATCACAGGGCTCAGAGGCTGAGTCACTATTTCCTTGGGAGCAAGCAGGGAGGAGGAGGAGTGAGCGTTTTCTCTGTGGATCCTGGCATTCATAGGCTCAGTATTCAGGAAAATTGAAAATATGAATAAGGACACTTGAATTGAATTGGCAGGTTGATGAGACAATCCAGTGCCCAGGCCCCAGAATTAGGATTATTTCAATCATAGATAGGCCATTGGGCTACACTAGCACGCGACTAGGATGAATGGAGACGTTATTGGTGCCCGCTCGAGCAAATCGATGAGTAATGGGATGTCAAGTGAGCAAGTGATCAAGATAGGCCATTGAATTTGGACAGTTTTCACTTTTGGAACTGAAGCTTTCAAATTTTCATATAGTGATGGCATGAAGGTATTCTCACATAATAAACAATCATTCAAATGCAGCTATAACACTGCTGAGGATGAAACAAATTTCTTTATAAAATGCAGTGAGATAAATAGTTACAAAGCCATTCGTGATTGTGTTTCAGCCATACAATTTTCCGACACCCATCCTTTCATCAGCACATTTCTACCACCCACGTCCCCAGTTTCCTTCCTGCACTACTCCTCCACCTTACCTCCAAAGCTGCTCTATGCCAGACACATTCTTTCTGACTGTCTGTCTCTCACATTGTTTTAGGCTTGTTGGTTTGCAATGCTCTTACTGAAAAGGTATGGTGCATTTCTCTTTCTCTCCTTTCAGCACTTAGTTTTTGTTCAGAGTGATCATTTCCAACTACCATTGTTAAAGGGTTCCCTTCTCTGTCCTAACTTTACTCCCCTCCCTTTTTGTGGCATGCTTTTTTCCTTGAGCCATTTCTGCTGGCTCTTGTTTCTATGTCTTTGGGTACTATTCACACACTGTGTTATTGTTTATGGCTTTTTATATCCCAAATGAGTGCCATCATTGTATGTTTATCTGTTCCCATTGACGCATTAACTCAGCATGATACTCTCCATGTCCATCCATGTCTCAGAAAATTTTATGACTATATTTTTCCTAACAACCATGTAGTGTTCCATTATGTAGATGTACCATAGTTTCAAATTTTTTTTACTTTTAAAGTTTTATTTTATTTTTATGAAATTGTTCACAATAGTTGATTAAATTCCATTTTCCAATACCAATCCACCACCATAATACCTTCCAATCACCATATTTCAAATTATACCATCCCGATGCTCAAAGCAAAATATACTACTTTCCTTTGTACTGCCTATAATGAATAATCTGCTACCGATGATCCAGAAAAGTTTTTCTAGAGGAAAGTGTGTGAAGATTGTTTTATTACCCTGGAGCCAGTAAGGCTTTGTACAGAGTATGAAATGTGCAGAACTTCTAATACTTTTAATAGAGTAATTCAGCAAGAATTCAATTTTTAAGTGGATGGTAATTTTGGGGTCCAGAGGCATCTCCGCAGTGTGTTGCTCTCTTTCCCTTCTGAGGTTTATTTTTGAGTATCTGGATCATGGTCGTTAATGAGATTAAATGGAACCAGAGGCAGTTTGTGGGCATGACTGTCAGCTACCGGAACTCAGGGAGGTGGAGGTAGATCACCCAACAACATTTGGGAATGGAGATTTCAGTCACAAGTCCGTATACCTTGGGTTTTCAGCAGAATTCCTCATGGATGAGGCTCGTGTAGCCTGTGGAGATGGGCCTTGACCATAGTGGTGATTGATTTCTGGAGGTTTTTGCTACAGTGGCTTTTTTGGGGGTGAGTGGTAGAACTGACTAGCTCTGCTCGATCCCCCTGGATGAGATAGCCTAGCATGGGGGCCAGTGGCATCTCTGCTGTACAATAGTTTCTTTATCAACTTTTCTGATTTTGGGCAAGGGTTATTTCTAGATTCTCTCTAACTGAATGGTGCTGGAGTGTAGATTGGTTTCTTCACTCATCTCTCATGCCTCAGCTTCCCCCTCTGTAAAGTGTGAAAATGAGAATGCTGTTGAGCTTTCCTGCAGTGGTTGAAGTATTTACTGAATATTATTGCAGGTGCCTTGGGTGGAGTGGGGAGCAAGAGTGTTTCTGCCCCTCTGCTTGACCCTCCTTGGTCACACCAGGAAATTCTTAAATGGGTGAGGACAGGTAAAGGCTTCTCCTAGCAACTATGTGGCATGGATGCTTACATCCCAGGGGCACTACTATGTGACCATCAAGCTATGCCTGAAGCCCACTCAATCTGCACAGTAAGGGAACTGGTCCCCATCACCTAATGCTCAGGGAGCAGTAGCGTCAACCTGGAATGAGGAACTAATCTTTGCAGGAAAGGAAAAGTCTGAGTCTTAGCACAGTGCTCCAGGAGCTTCCTCTTTTCTCAAAGAAAAAAATTTCAGGAGCAGGTGAAAGAGTGAAGCAAAATAGCTTTACTTAATGGTATTTACTTAGAGTGGCCTAATAGGTAGTACAGACACTAAGTTGTTTGCCTTGCCTGCAACTGACCTGAATTTTATCCCTGACACCATTTATGGTCCTCTGGGACCTGCCAGGAGTAATTTCTGCGTACATAGACATGAGCAAGTTCTGAACCCACTAAGTGTGGCTCCCAAACAACACAAATGCCCACACACACAGACACACACACACACAGACACACACTGGCACACACACAAATGAGTAGGGAAAAGAGATTAAAAACAAGGAAGAATGGAAGAATATGGGGTTCTTCAAAGGAAGGAGAGGCTCTCAAGGAAAAGAATACAATCTACGTTGTGTGCAGTGACTCCAGAACAGGGAGTCCTGTGTTCTGAATCCTCCAGGAAGCATGGCTTGGTGCCTCTTCAAACTGCTCAGCTTGGAGCTCTCTCTGCAGGAAGGAGTTATTGGCAAGGTTTATCAAGGTAAAGGATTTTGAGCTCTGGTGACTTTTTTTCTTTGAGGGTCTCTCAGGTTCTTTTGTCTTATTAAAATATCTTCTGAGGTTGTTCAGACCTCATATTTGGGCTGATATGTTGAGCTCTAGTTATTTAACCCATTCCTTGCCTTGCATTTGCCTCTTCTCTATAGTCTTTTCCTTGCCCCAGGCCCCTGGGGGGCGGGGGGTACTAACTGCATCTAGTATGGCACTCAAATAGAAATCTGCTGAAAACAACCTTGAAATGTTCATACGCCTGAGTTTATCTTTTAGCACACTAGACACGCATTTCCCTCTAGTAATCCTGACGACTGTTCCTCGTTACCCAACACCCCCTTTCAATTGAACGGCATGAACAGCACCTTCTATCCTTCCTGGCACTGTGGGATAAATATGACAGCTTCATCCTACAATCCCAAATACAACCTTCATGATGCATGTAGAGAGCCTGTTTCAAGACTTGGGATGCGAAGTCAGGGGACCTCAGATCTCTCTGTATCAGATCTGTTTGCTGCTCTGATGAAAACTCATGGGACTGGAGGGGAATATGATTCAGGTGGGACAGGGATTTGTGTGTCACTTTCCATGTCACAGAGGGCTGGGTCGCTTGACTATTCCACCCATAACAGTGGTAGCATGGTGCTCAACCAGGGTGCCTCTGCTTGTCAGGTTGCC